TAGGCAGCAGTTGTGGTGGTATTCAACTTTGCTATGGTTCTGCTGATTTTTCCTGCTATCCTGAGCATGGACCTGTATCGTCGGGAAGACAGGAGACTGGATATATTCTGCTGTTTTACAAGGTGAGAATGAGTGATAGATTGATATGTGAGGTGCGTCCTTTTTGTGGTCACCTGTCAGTGCCACCGTTCCTTGTCAGGAGTGAGAGTCTGTCATTGCAGTGAGGTCAGTATGTTATTGTTATGATTTCATTGCTAGTGACTGGCTTACATTTGCTACCTTGGTTTTTACCTGACTGAGGGGAAAGGTTAAAATACATCTCTCTCTCTCTCTCTCACATGCAGACACACACTTTTCCCTGCATTTGTACATACGTTCATTTTGAATGTTGGAGGACAACTTTTTGAAAGCAGATAAAAGACACATGCTTTAGGAACATCTTCAAGTATTTTTAGAATGTTACGGGGTACTGTAAGGTGTCCAGTGCCAGTATTGGGTAATGTTGGAAGACTGTACACAACTCAGGGTGCTGAGAAGCCTTACTTACAGTTAATCACTGTGCTTATTTTTATGCTTCTTATGCCTTTAAACTTAAATATGTAAACATACTGTATGAACTGTAAAATGACTTACCCTTAGCTAAGTTTTTCATAGAACTGTGAGGAATGCAGGATGATCAGTACCGTTACAGGAAAATGCTTGATGAAGTTTCTGTTATGGTTGCAATTGTAATTTAGAATGGTAATACTTCTTTTCTGCCTTAGTTTTTGCTTTTGCCAGCAATGAAGAGGATCAGCTACATTTCTACCCATGTACTTTTACTGTCGTAACCAGGATGTGGAGAATCCGCCTTGTGTCAGCTTAGCCTTTTACAGCTACCTAGGAGCTGACGTAGTTTGACATTTTAATGTCAAAGAGAGAATGCGTTTTCCTAAATTTGTTTTTGAGGGAGTGGTTAGAACAGGAAGTTGATCCCAAGTCAAGACTCCTACATTGTGTTTTGGGTTCAGTCAGTGGATAGTCTAATGCGCTTGAATTTTGGAGCCCTGATTCTCAGAAATACAAGGCAATCAAACCTTCCTCATCTGAAGTTGCACCAAATGCGTGTCAGAATTCAGGCCCGTTTAGAAATGCAGTTAAAGAGAGCGTGCTTTGGTTAGGTAGGCAACATTCTGAATTCCTCTAGTTTTTGTAGGATTTGTCTGCTTGGTGAAAAATCTCTGATACTGTTTTCTGTCATCAGTTTGTCATTTCTCATTTACAGCAAGAGGTTTATATCTGATTTTTTTTTTTTTTTTTTTTTTAATAAACTTGGTATCTGTTAGGGTCTTGCATTGACTAAAATAAAGGGAATGCTTCAGTTGCTTCTGTAATTTTGTCTCTTCGTGTTGTCCGTCCTTCCTGGGATTTAATCCTTGCATATGTTTACTTAATTTTTAAAACATTCAGTCAGTGTATGGCAAGTGGTATCAGCCTGCCTCCCAGAAGTCTGAGATCTTATCCAGAAGGCCCAAATATTATTTAACAGTTACTTTAATAGCTCTAAACAGAAGAAATCAGTATGTCATGTGTTTACATTTTAATCTAAATAACTTAATTCTCAGCATGGGCACGTAGATGCAAAGTCAAACACATTTTGGGCATTCAGAGTGTGCGCAGCTACCTGAATATTGACCTGATTAGCATGTGTAATTAGTGGAGTGGTGTGGGTAGATGTCAACGGCTTCAGACAGATGCTGGTTCCTTCTTTACTGAGCACAAGAAATGTGCACATGTTCTGAGGCCTACAGTTTGAACTATGTCTGAGAAATGTTTCCTAAAGGTGCACAATAAAATTCACATCAAAGTGTTACACTTAATTAATATAAACCATCTAATAGTAGTACAAGCAGCCTCACTTGGAAGCAGGTTACCCTATCTAGTCTGATTAAAATAAAGATCTATCTAAATGTGTACGTGTGTTTTTCTCTTCTCTTACAGTCCGTGTGTCACTAGAGTGATTCAGATTGAGCCTCAAGCATATGCGGAAAACGACAGTACTTCCTACAGCCCTCCACCGCCGTACAGCAGTCACAGTTTTGCACATGAAACTCAGATTACAATGCAGTCTACAGTGCAGTTGCGCACAGAATACGATCCTCATACGCAGGTGTACTACACCACAGCAGAGCCTCGTTCGGAAATATCTGTGCAGCCAGTGACAGTGACACAAGATAATCTTAGTTGCCAGAGCCCAGAAAGCGCAAGCTCGATGAGGGATCTGCTTTCCCAATTCCCAGATTCCAGCATGCATTGCCTTGAGCCACCCTGTACAAAGTGGACACTGTCATCTTTTGCAGAAAAGCATTATGCTCCCTTCCTGCTAAAACCAAAAGCTAAGGTAGTCGGGAACTATTTACCTGTTTTTCAAAAATAGACTTCTGCCTTGACCAAAAATTACCCTGGCAGTGGTGTTAAAGATAAGGAATAAATATAATTCGTTCAGAATAACGATACCTAGTAATTTTACACCTAATTTCATACTTTTTAACGTTTTACCTTGCAAGTGCTATAGAGGCATACTTTTCAAATACAAGTTGCGAGTGAGGGTATTGATGACTTTCAGTAACATAAGCTTGTGAATAGTGAAACTAAAACCACTTCTAAACTTTGTTATTTTACAAACTTCTTGTCCATGATTCAGCGACCCTTCAATAAAGAACAAATTAGCTTTGCTTTGTAGTGTCGATGTGTATTAAAAAAAAGGAAGAAATAAAAATTTAAATGTAGGCTGTTGGATGTTAATTTTGAACCTGCCTTTGTAGTGTGCCATTATGAATTGTTAGTTTCTTTAGAAACCTAAACCCAAATCCATTTCCATTTTCTGTTGCAGATTGTGGTTATTTTTCTTTTTCTGGGTTTACTTGGGCTCAGCCTGTATGGAACTACCCGGGTGAGAGATGGACTAGATCTCACAGACATTGTACCACGGGAGACACGGGAGTATGACTTTATTGCCGCACAGTTCAAGTACTTTTCGTTCTACAACATGTATATTGTGACGCAGAAGGCAGACTATCCAAATGTCCAGCACTTACTTTATGAACTTCACAGAAGTTTCAGCAATGTGACATACGTTTTGTTGGAAGAGGACAGGCAGCTTCCCAAAATGTGGTTGCACTACTTTCGAGACTGGCTGCAAGGTAGGAGAGAGTTGCATGAACTTTTCTTAATTCTACAGTAGTAGCAACTTGTTTATGCTAGTAATGCTCCCCTCTTCAAATATGGTCACACGGTTAAAGGTTGCGAGCAGGAGGGAGAATTCCTAGGTGCTGATCCGAACTCACGCATTGACTCGCTGTTTCTCCAACAGGTCGCTGAAATTCTTTCTGGCTAAGTTTACTCCCTAGTAAGCCAGTTTTGAAGCTTTAAGAGATTATATCCATGAGAGGCCATCTCATGTCATTAATTTCTGAGCAGCTAATGAGGAGTTCTGCTTTACAATTAACAGCCAAATATGGCCCACTCTCTTGGGAAAATAAATGTTTGCTGAGTGTTTTGAGAACAGTAAATGAAAAGTCCCCGTCCAGTGATGTATTTTGGCACAAGCTCAACGTTCAGCACGAGTGATCCTGCTGGCTTCAGCTGGGACTGCTGGCGTGAAGAATATTCAGTGTGGTTTACATGTTCTGTTGAATTGGGAACTTACTATACATTCTAGATTTCCAACTGAGTACTCTCACTCTTTCTATAGTCCTGCTTTTTCTGTGCTGAATTGGAACAGGACAGGGGTAGACATGAGAAGGCATAGCCTTTCAAGTACTGTGGTGATAATTATACCGACATCAGCTTATTAAAAATATTAAGGATATTCTAATTACACTTGTTGAGACAAATAGCTATTTTGTATTTAAAACAAATATTACTGTTACATCTCAGCAAATTTAACAGCTCTCTGCTGTAAGCAAACACATTGTCCCCAGGAGTACTTCTGTCCTACCTCTGCCTTTCTGTTGGGATAATCCCCAGGACACTTTTGCCAACAGAAAAATAAACAGTGCTGACCTAGTGAGACTGTAAATTTTAACCTTAACTGTTCACAGACAACCAGTGCAGCCAATGATTCCTGAAGAACGTGTGGGTAACTGCCAGTATTTGGGGTATCTTATTCCTTCTGAAAAGATGTTGGGCAATACTAGGAAAGTGGATGCATGCAAGTGACGCATCTAAACAAAATGATAAAGTTTCCTGTGTGTTTAATGCACTGGTAGATCATGCAAAGCAGTATTTCAGCTATTAGCTTTGGTTTTTTGATGGTTTTAAAAGATATTGGATCCATTCATTACAGTCTACTTACTGGAAGTTTGACTTCAAATATTTTGCTCACATAAGCATATTGAGCTAAGGGAGGTATTACTGGCAGGAAGAAAAATCAGCATAGCTTAGATGTTTTGCTGGATTGGAACCTTGCTATACTTTCTAGATCTCTAAGTAAGCATCTTTCTACATGCTTTTCCAAATTCTCTTATAACTCTGCTGTTTATTTCTTTTTTTTAATTTGTTTTTTGTTGTTCCAAAACAGTTGGAAAAAAATGTGTGTGATATCCCCACTTCCGCCTTTCCTTCTACCTGCAAACCTGTGGGTGGGATGGAAATCTGAGATCCTCTTCAGGATCTTCACATGGTAGTGCTGAACCTTAGCACAGTCTGCCAACGATGAAGCCGGAAATAGGTGCCCTTGGATCTGCTCCGTTGCTGGCTCCTTGGAGTGAAATTATGGAGGCTAGCCCATTTGGTGTTACTCCCAGGGGTGCTGGTGTTCCCATTCCTCTTCTCTCAGGCCCACCACATACTTTCCTGAACCTCTTCCACGTTGGATGCCTCCCTGTCCTCTTTGTAGTCACCTCCCTGTGCTAGGGACTGTTTGTGTGCCAAGGGCCTGCAACTCTCCTCCTCTGTGCTGTATGTCCATGCTCATAGGTGACTTTTCCAGAGCTGCCCTTCTCTCAGGGGTGTTCCTGTTGTCTTCTTATAGCCCATAGTTACTTTTCCCCTTCCAGCTCACATTAACCTGCCTACCCTTCTTTCTTGTCCTCCACTTTTCTTCGACTGGAGGGCCTGTGAGTATTCCTGGTGCTCTAGACATGCTGACAGGGTGCGTGGAGCTAAAGCATTGTACTGGAACAGTCAGGGAACTGCCTGGAAGCAGTGACTTGCCATGGTTCAAGTGAACGTGGCAGCCCTGTGTCAGAAGATGCATTGCTTAGACCTTTGATCACCCAGCTTTAAGACTAATCGTGATTACTAATTAGCATTTAGGTCTGTGTCCTTACCCCTCCTCCCCACCTTCCCCAAGAGGGGCACAATTAATACAAACCAGCTGCTCTGTAAAGATGCAGGGCTGTCTTCGCAGAATGCAATACTGCGTTCACAAAGCTGTAACGAAGAAAGGTATTGAGATGTGTCAATAGAAGGTAGGTTTTGGAATGGTACAGGGTGTTGAAGTAATGGGGTGAACTAAACTGTTACGGTAATACTATGGCATTTGTCGTAGTTAGGGAATTATCTCAAGGTGCAGACAACAGAATAATACCTGACCGTTACCAACTGGGGCTGATGCTGAGGGAGGGAAGGTGAGAACAGAAGGTCCAGTTTTAGGCTGGATTCAGGGAGGATCCTCTGTGAGGTGGGAGCGGTTCTGCTGATGCGTTTCTACATGCTAGAGGAGCAGGACAGTCAGAATAGGGGCAACTTTGAGCTTCATGGCTAATTCCTGCCAACTTGATTGGGAATTCAGTACTAGAGATTAATGGCACAAGATGGCCTTCTGACATGCATGCATTTGTCTGGCAGAATGAGGGAATCAACAGCATGTGAACAAAAGCAATTTTCATCAAGAAGGCATCCTTGGTCTTAGCCATACATTTCTCCTCATTTACTAGCAGTGGAGTGCCTGCTCCCCAACGCACCTCTTTTTTCAGAGGTTCGCTTGTATTTTGCTTTCTGGTATCATATCATGTTAGCATATTTTCTGATACTAAAAATGCAAGAGAAGAAGAGTTAACACTAATCATTCATTTAAACTGGAAATGTTAATGTTTTTTTTGTAAGTGGCTGAATGTAAATAAGGTGGCTTGAATTCCCGGGTGGCTTGTAATTACGCTTGTTTTTGCAAAGGGTAATCTTATCTGGTGTTTCATGGTGCCAGCTGTTCATGTGAGTCAGTAGGAATTCCTTCCTCACCCCTGTTCCTGCATCCCACAGAATTTTGGAGGATTTAGCTTTCTTCTGAAGCATTAAGCAGAAGTGACTGCTGTTACGAAAAAATCTCATATATAAGATTTTTTAAATTCCCTTAATTTTTATAACTTTTGTGCAGAAAGAGGTCAACAAGTTACTTTTATCTTTCTTCCCAGAAGCATTTCATTAATCAAATTTATAAAAGATTAAATGTCTTTAAAAATAATTGGTATGAACAGTTTGTAACAGAAGTACTGTTTGCTTTGAAAGCAGCAACTCTGCTACTGATTTCATAGTGTTATGGGAAATTCTAGTTACTGAAATTTTGAAGTTCTTTAGGAATTAAGCACCACTGATAGTGATTTCTTGGTATTCTTTCCACAGACTTTCAGTTTCAGCAAGGTCAGTAATAAAATAACCCAGAGCATGAAGTGGTTAAGCCAGCTGAGCAATAAAGATATAAAAGGGAGCAGGGTGTGAGGGATGACCAAACTTGTGAGAACAAGGGAGAGGGGGAGATGCGAGAGAGCAAAGTTTTTGTCTGCTGCAGTAATGTTAAAAGATACACATGCCCTTTTTTGACGTACCTTGCAACCACAAATTGGTAATGTCACATGCCAATGGATATATTTGTTAATGCATGTCTGTGGAGCCCCCCGACAGGGGTTGGATGTTAGTCTGAAAGCTCTGCTCCCTCACATCATCTTTCCTAGCAATTTGTGTGCTCCTCCTGCTGAAGGGAGCCATTTTTACTGCAAGTTAAGCTGTTCTTTGGTGGTCTCCTCCTTTCCCACGTCCTTTTTTGACAGCCTCCTCTTAACCTCCCGAAATCGTCTTCTGCATGACTGGTGCGATAATACGAATTGCTGTCACCTGGCCGGTTTCTGGGAGATTGACGTGGGCTGGCCTTGGCACAGGAGTGATGGATTGGTATTTTTGCATGTCCTAAGCGATGTTGTCACCTTTCCGAGGGCACCAGCAAACAACGCTTTTTTTAAAGGGGCCCTCGAAGTCCTATGATAATGTCAGAAAACCTGATGGCAATCTGTCCTCCTCCTGGACAGGTGCCTGCGGTCTGTGTGCAGAGATCTGACAGGCTTCTTCCATTGCATGGTTCTCGGCCCGTTGGCCTCACCAGTGGTTGCGATTTGGCAGGGCAACAAGGGAGGCAGTTTTCTACGGGAGAGTGGATGTATTTGTGAACGGGAGTGCGGACTCCAGCCAGCCTGGAGCTGGTGTCGGCCGGGTGCATTTTCTCTTGCGGTGCTCGTGTCTCCGTACAGCTGTAGCTACCCGGTCTGGTCTGTAATGACAGTTTTTGCTGTGGCTCCTCAACGCAGCTGCGAGGTGGGTTGGCAGTTTGCTCGACCGCCACTCCCCCGGCCTTTTCATCCCGTTCCCTGGACATGAGGTTTGTCGTCTGCTCCACAGAGCCTTCTTGTACTGGCCTGCGGCTTCCTGTGCTAAAACTGATCCAAATTTGTGCTGTGAGGTATTCCCTCCCCCTCGAAGGGTGGCAAGGAGGAAAATAACAGTTGAGAGTGAATAGGTGTCGGCTGTGATCTTTACATGTACTGGCAGCAGATCCCACGACTTGTGTTAGCTGCACAAGTTGAACAGATGGAACAAATTGACAAAATCGTGTTCACTCACGCTGTGCTTGAGGAGCAGCTGAGTTGCTGTTTGAAGTTGAAAGTTGGAGTGTGGTTTTTTTCCCCCCTTGTAGTGGAATTTCTGGTTATATTGTAGAAGCTATTGCCTCAGTGCTATGTAGTAGCCCAGAACAGTTAATGAGAGCGGCGTGTGTCCTCCTCTGTGGCTCAGTGTGCTCGGCCAGGGTTTTGGTTAGGCAGAGAGGAGTCTGGAGAATGTAAGTTGGATCAGGGCTGAACTCAGCCCTTTTCCGATCTGACACCATCCAGGTCAGCGCAGGACTTGAGCTTTGCTCTGAGGAGCGTATGTGTATGAAAAAGGTGATAAATGCAAATACGCTTATGGAGTTTTGAGTGTGTTGATTCTGGAAATGTGGTTCACAAGGAAAACTGCTTTTTATTCTAGACAAGCTTAACTCTTCCCCATATACTTCTCCAAGCAGAGTGCTAGGTTGCTCTCAAAGGCTCCGAGAAGGATGCAGGACCAGAGGGTCCCAATCCCGTCCAAGATCTCTTTGCCTTGAGGGGAAGCTGGTTTACACCAGTGCACATCGCATCTGCAGTTTGTGAGCTCAGCTTTGCTGGTCTGCACAACATAGGAAGGCTCCTGAGGCTTCTCCCTTGCACTTTCCTCCTTCTCCTGCCTTTCTTTGGGCAGAATACTGGACGTACAACGGGTACTTTTACCTTCTTGCACACTGGCAGTGAATAAGAAGCCCCCAATTTAGGAGGCAGCAGGTGGATAATTTTCTTCCTGATTCAGCTATGAAAAAGAGTCATTATTGTTTATTCCTACTGAAATTTGTTTCTAAGAATGACTGCTTACCTGCTTGTTCTGTCTTCCCCTTGCCTCCCTTAACTCTTCAGGACTTCAGGATGCATTTGACAGCGACTGGGAAACTGGGAAAATCACTTACAACAATTATAAAAATGGATCTGATGATGCTGTGTTGGCTTACAAACTCTTGGTACAAACAGGCAACCGAGCAAAGCCCATTGACATCAGCCAGGTACTGTATCAGGGTCCATACTGGTCTACACAGGAATACACAAGTCATCAGGAGTGGGGGGAGATGCAAAGAGCACATCGTAGTTTTTTCTGTCGTCTTGATGAATTGAACACTGCACGGCCTCGCTGACTTTGCTGAAGCCACTTGTTAGCTGCAGCCTGGCCTGTGTTGTGAAGTGTTCAGAATCAATACTGGGGATGCCTGCCCTTGATTATCACTGGTTTACGTGTGTTCCGTGCTGCTCCTGTGTCAGAGACACTCGGTTTCCACTGAAGTTGTTGTGAAAAATGCTTTGCTGCATCCATAGGTAGATGGAGTCTGGTCTCATGCCAGACAGAGCCAGCATTAGCCTTGTTGCCCTAAGTGGCATTGTTTCTGATTTGAATCAGATTGCCTTACAGGGTGGACCTTTGCTCAAGTTTCTGCTGTGGCTTTGAATGTGGCATTTGCTACATTTACATTTAGTTCCTACCAATTTATGCAAAACATAACATTTAAAAAATATGTTGATGGATGATAGTGGAAAGGGACTGAAATCATTACATGCTGTGTCATATTTTTGTACCGTCATCACCAAATACAGCTATGCTGCTGTAGAACGGAGAATGGCGGTTGTTTGAGCTGCCTAAGTAAAATATGTCTGAGGTTCTTTTGCAAGGTTATCACAGCACATGACTGCATTTGCTGTAGCCATTGGTAGGTGGAAACACATGAGGTTTGACTCCTTACGCTAAAATTAGATTTCAAACCTCTAGGAAGAAATTCTGCAGTAACCTAACTTCTTCTCTCCTAGAGTCATCATTGACTCACTGTGCTTTCAGGCAGAAAAACAGTCTTTCTAATGAGCTTCTTGGCCGATCTGCTTACTGTCTTTCTTTTTTTCCTGGCATTAAAGGTGACAGATTTACAGAGTGCATTGTTCAAAGTTACTATGCTGTGTAAAACACAGTGCTGTATAGCAACATGCAGCATGCTGTCAGGTCTGAATGAAGCTTCAGCTACGATTTAAGCGAAGAAAGGCAGTTGAAGACAAAACCTTCAGTGAGATTTTGTTTAGCAGAGTGTACCAGGTACGCTGTGGAACAAATGCAATTGGACTGCAGCTGCTGATATAATTTCCTGTGCCTGGGAGGGAGAAAAGTGCGGTGCACCCACAGGGGCTGAGTGCTGTACTGTGCAGTTCCAGAGACAGCTTGAAGACATACAGTTGTTGCATATCCTGTGGACTAATTGAATCCAGATCCTTGGAATCCAGCTTTTTTTTTTTGACTGCTGTCACTGTTGTTTTTCATGTCATTAAAAAGACCTGAAACTGGAGCCGAGCCAGAATTTTAAATAAACAAAACAAAAAAAACCCAGTAATACTTTTCACCCACAGAGTCCTCTGTCAGAGCTCTGGCTGTGCAGGGTTTGGCTGCAGAGCCCTAGAAGTCTACCACTGCTGTTTACCCCACAGATGCTTTTGCCCACAGTGACCCAGATAACATAGGACACTCATCTGCTTTCTTGATGCTGGGCATTTTCTGCAAGCATAGGTCATAGGAGGCAAGTGTTAGAAAAATTTATACAGATGTTTTATTTTTATAGCTCTCCTCCATTTACTGGGTGGCATTTCCTTCAGTGTTAACAACAGAGGTTAACTGCACACAGACGTGTATAGGGACTCTTGCCAGGTTTTCTTTCCCGTTCCTTAAATACGTTTCTCCGACTTGGTTGTTTTTCACTCTTGGCTGCAGACTTTCAGAACTTGGATTTAATTGGTTCAGCCTATTCTGGAACCATCTGCTGATTTAGAGGTTATTGTAAATACTATATGAGTACTATTTTATAAATAACCACTTTCTACTGTCCCTGAAGTTTCTTAGATTTTTTTTTTTCATTGTCAAGCAATAGTTTACTGATAAGTCACTTCAAGTGAAGATTCATGCTGTTTTGCTTTTCCCCTCCTATATGTGTGTTGCATCTCAAAGCCATTTGTTGAAAGCTTTACGGCAAGAGCCCTGAAAGCAAAACTCATTGTGAAAGGCTTCTGACTTTTTTCCGTTTTGCAGTTGACTAAACAGCGTCTGGTGGATGCGGATGGAATCATTAACCCAAGTGCTTTCTACATCTACCTGACAGCCTGGGTTAGCAATGACCCTGTGGCCTATGCCGCCTCGCAAGCCAACATCCGGCCTCACCGCCCAGAGTGGGTCCACGACAAAGCAGACTACATGCCAGAGACGAGGCTGAGAAGTAAGTAGCATTTCATCTTAATGTCTTACAGTTTATACAAGTGCCCTGACTCCTTCCTTCGAGAACCAGTAACTCAGTAGTTGTCTGATGCTGCGCAGGGCTCAGAAGTGCAAACAGGACAATATATAGTGTTACTCTGTAGTCTTAGGAGACTCATGCACCATTGCAAATGTGGCCCCACTGCAAGGTTTTATCATGTTGAATAATGAGTTTTATCATGTTGAATAATGAGTTTTATAACTGTTTAAAGCTTCAGAAACTTATGGTAAGCATTGCTTTTTAGTGTCACCTGATAGTTCTGTCTGTGAGAGAAACCTGGAGATTGCACGAAATCCCTGCCTATGTCCCTCTGAAATTTCATCGCTGGGATTGTATCGTCTTTATCCTCTGTTCTTAATACCTAAGAGAATTTTGTCAAGCTAGCGCATATGCTAAGCTACCAACGCTGATAACGGTACAAAAGCTGCCTAAGTAGGGGAGCAGTCCCATTCTGTGTCATTCACTATTCTCCTGAGCACGTGCCAGTTTGCATTGCTTTGCTTCAGCATTCCATATATTGGGAGGATTGCTAGTTGGACACCAGTGGGGAAGGGGAGAGGGCATAGAGGGGAGGACTGGTGCACTTAGAAGTGTGGCTGGGTAACCAGCTAGCTGTGCTTCAGTGTATCTGAACCCTAGAGCTTTGTGGCAGTCAGCCAAGTCTTGTCTTAATGAAAATTTATAGTGGAGATTATAATAGGGCAAATCATGTTTAGCAAGTCAACTGAATGACCCTGCAGGGTCTGGAACACACAACGGCAGTAACAAAATGCTTGTTGTGGAGGCTTTTTTTTTTTCCCCTTGTCATACGGTAGACTTAACATTACGCTCAAAAAGAAGTATGGTGAGTGTTGGTTTGTCAAATCATTAACGGATAAAAAGTTACCCATTTTCCTCCTTAAGGCATTACTGTTGTATTGCCTTTTATCCCCCCAAGTCGCTTGCATCAGTAGCAGAACATGGATTTCTGAATCTGACTTTCAGAATATTCAACGGAAATCTTCAAGACCAGCCAGCCTGATTGAGCATAGTTTTTCTCTAGTTTTGTGTTAGTGGACCTCAATTAATCTCAGGGAAATGACCTTTGATTTCAAAGGAACAGCATGTGACTTGCATAAAAGAAGACCATTTAGATAAAATGTTTAAGATGATATGATCTTCTATTCTATATTGCAGTTTTAGGGATTTTTGGCCAGATATTCAATAAAAAGCACTACAGCACTGATGAGGATTAAATATGTATATTGAAATATATCTGTTAAATTATATAGAATTGTTTGGGGCCTTGATGTAGATGGTGTTCATCCCATTGCACTGCATGATAAGAAACAGTAGTCTCCTGTAGGGCTTCAGCTTTTGATTTATTGGGGAGTTTTAAAAATTTCACTTGTTCTGAAGAAGTAAAATTTAAATTCAATGCCTTTAAGCGTTTTGCTGCAGAGAACACGGTGTTTTGTTAATCATGCTCTCTGTGTATCTTCTTCCCAAACACACATTTTAACACTGCTGTCCTTTTTTTAGTTCCAGCAGCTGAGCCCATAGAATACGCTCAGTTTCCTTTCTACCTCAATGGATTGCGTGAAACTTCTGACTTTGTGGAAGCTATCGAAAAAGTGAGAGCTATCTGTAGTAACTACAGCAGCCTGGGGATCGCCAGCTACCCAAACGGTTACCCGTTTCTGTTTTGGGAGCAGTACATTGGGCTTCGTCACTGGCTCCTCTTATCCATTAGCGTGGTTTTGGCTTGCACGTTTCTGGTGTGTGCCCTCTTCCTCCTAAACCCCTGGACGGCTGGGATCATTGTAAGTTTGTTATAAGGGTCTTTGCTGAAGTCAAATTCCTTTCAGCATAGCTCTTGCTGTAGTCGGGAAGGTTTTGTTTATGTCTGGGCCTCTGGAGGAGTATGTATATTGCATCATTCATTATATATTTATTCAACTTCAGGGGATAGGGTTCATGCTAAAGGTATTAACCTTAATAACATTAATCCTTTGGCCACCTTTTTTGCAGCTTTGAAGTTTCTTAGAAAGGTATATAAACTTTTGCCCTTGCTCAGATGCATGCTAACATGAGAAATAAAAACACAGGAAAATTAAGAGCTTCATTGACATTAAAGTTATTTCTAATTATGTATTCCCTCTCCTCTTTTATCAGACATAGTTATTTTTCAAGACAGTTGCTTGTGACTAACTTGCCCGTAAATTTTCTGAATGCAGTCTTTCTGGAAAAACTGAAATGGTTAGGTTGTACGGTACACACTGTGGAAAGACTGTAATTGAGGTATCGAGAAGAAAGAGCCATAAAATTATGAACTGAAGAGAATACTCCTCCATGCTTTCTGCAAGGCACCATAAGCCTCTCAGTAAACATTCAAGTTAAATTGAATGATGATGTTCCTATGTTTAAATTCCATAAACTATCGTATGGTTTATAAAATGCCAGAAGTAGAAAAGTGTAAAACAGTTACTAGTTTTTGTAATGTACGTTTATACGACAGGTATGTTAAAAGGTAAATGTTTAGTCTAGAATATTTTTCATAGCACTTAATCAAGCAATTTATGTTATTACTCTTGATTCATTAGCTTATAAAATCATTTATTGTAGTGCACACTTTTTTCCCTTGGAAAAGGCGTTTATTTTCAGAGTCCGCCATTGCTTTTATAAGTATGTCTATCTTTTTATCCTGCTTGGCTTTAGCAGCTTTTGAAGTTGATTCTACAGATTTCCTCCCCTCACTTTTCCTCAATGTTTTTTTACAAGGTAGATGAAAGAAAAATAAAAGCTTCCCATTAGATTTAACTGTTCACTTTGTCCGTGTCAATCCCTCCAAGTATCTTAAAAGCTCAGAGCCCCTCTGTAACTTGAAACCCATCAGCTGATTATGGCGTTCACTTAGTTCTGGGCGTTAAACCTGCTTAAAAGTCATCCTCACTTATATTTGCAGTTCTACAAAAAGAATTCTGATACAGGTAGTTGAAAGTTACTTTTTCTGGAAAGATTGTCCCAGGAACAGGTGAAAACGAGAACATGTACATTTGGAGGGGTATCCGTGACAAGGAAGAATAAATTGTTTTTCACATCAGTGAAGAATTGTAACCAACACAAAATTGATGCTTGCTCTGTTAACTGCTTCTTAGGAGTATAATTTGAACTGGCTCTTTAGCAAGTTGTTGCCATTGAGCACAGTGAAACAAGGAAAGGCAGCTTGTCTTTGGGAACACAGGATGGCTTTGAGGAGAATGTTTTATAGTCACCGTGTTTTTTTGAAATGTCTTTCTTCATTTGTCTGGAGTATGAGAAGTTACTAACAGCTGTTTGAAACCCTCTAGGTGGTGGTGCTGGCTCTGATGACTGTGGAGCTGTTTGGCATGATGGGTCTTATTGGAATAAAGCTGAGTGCAGTGCCTGTGGTTATCCTGATTGCTTCTGTTGGCATTGGCGTGGAATTCACTGTTCACGTTGCTTTGGTATGTAAAATCAGGAAGTGTTCAAAGTGTTCAAAATATTTTTAAATGAAATGGTGGCAATGTGAGGATCACAAATCCTTGCTTAGTCCCCTGAGTCAGTGACATGATTTTCAGAAGGAAATTGGCACAAACAGTTCCCTGTTCCATTCACTTTGTCTTGATAGAGCAAACTTGATCTTGATGAAGCAGTTCCTAACTATTGAGTCAGTCTTCCGGGAAAAAAGAGGGGATACATTAACCTGTGGTATCTAGCTGTCTGAGTGATCCAAATATATAGGCAAAGCAGAGCTCTTAATGCACCTCACTTCAGTCTTCACTCTTGTGGTCCTTGTCTGCAGCCTCACTGCTGCTGTCTCAGTGCTGTGTAGCTGTTGCATGTGGATTCTGTATCTCGTTAAAGAGGAGCTTTTAAAGGAAATTTTCAAAATCACATACGATGTCATTTGATCTCCCTGGACCACTAAAATTTGAATGTATGTGGATTCATTTTCCACTTGAAAAATCTGCACCATCTTTTCAGAAACCGTCAGCTATTAATAGTGGGCACAAACATGCAGTCTGTAGGAAAATAGTTTTCAGATGTGATGAGGAGGAGCAGAGAGGGGGGAAGAGTGTGTTTTGCTTGAAGATTTTCAGCATATTCAAGGTGAAGTGTTCAAATCTAGGGTCACCTGCTCACCCAGCTTAGTCAATCTGATGTGCAAAAATGCATAGAAACAACAGTGTGCTTGCAAGGGGGCAGCTTTGGGTGTTGAAGATACGCAAAATTCATCCTGCTTTATTTGGTAACAAAGAATAGAGTGAAAGGATTTTTTTTGTGTTCACATTTGACGATGTCAGCACTTGATATTTCCAACATTTTGCACACTCGGCAGAAGTCATTTTCCTATAAGGCTCTTCTAATCAATATTTCAGAATAGTTTAAGAATATCGTTGTCTCCATGGATTTGAATTTTACTTTACTAAGAAGTAGGAAAGGGTGAGTGGTCAGTATAATACAATTTCGGGGAGGAGATGCTTCTAGTCTACTGTGATCTCTAGTATATTAGTACTGTAGCAATCCAAAAAGCAGTGAAGGGAGGGGGCTGGAAAGTGGTGGTGAGATTGGATGGGAATGCAGTAGGCCTTTTAGACTCAAAAGGAGTCAGGTAGACTGCTAAGAGGATCTGGTGATAGTGGAAAAGAGAGAACCAACGGGATCTTGGCACACTGGAGAGATGGCCGAATACTGGGAACGTGTTGTAGATGATGTGCAGAGTTGGGGCACATAAAGTCAAAGGATGGAAAACATAATTTTAAGAAAAATCATGGGGGAAGTAGGGTGAGGTTAAAGAGGAGCAACTGGATCCCTGAAGTGGTGACAACTTTTTTTCCCCTACTGCTATGAGTAGTTAGGCTTTTGGAAGTAAACCTGTTTGCTAGGGCTTGTAATAGTTTAGGAAGTGTCAGAAACTAGTGGTGTACAAAAGGAAGAAAAAAATGACAGTGTCTTAGAATTGGAGATTTAAAACAGGAAAACTGGAATTAAAAAGGATGTGAAATAGGTATTTGTTTCTAAATGGGAAGAAGCTAATCTAATTTACAGGACTTGTATATAAAAGTAAAAGTCACCTATGGCTGAAGGTAAACTGCCAAGCAAACTGAAAATTGCATTTTTTCACATTAACTCAAAAACTTTCATACGTAGGCTTTAAATAAAAGAATGCCTAGTAGACCTCAGATGATAGCAGCAGTACTGACCTTCACAGAACTTCCTGCATATAAACAGTCAAACCAGTATCGCATAAACAAAAAAGGCAACGCTAGAACTGTTGAAGCAGAACTTAATTGAACTTGTTTAAGAGTGATACACAATCCACTTGTGGCTGAGTTCTCTGCTGTCGCTTGTAGATTGTAACCTGTTTTTTAATTCTGCAAATAAACTCTTAATCAATAGTAGACTCTTGTATTATGCATCCCTTAATTGCACACATATGCATTTGTTTATATGACTTGTTGATGTGTTTGTGGATCAGATCCCATAGCTCCCATTCATGTGAGTTGTCTCACTGACAGCTGCCTTTACCCTGAGGGAGATTCTTTATCGGTTTGTGTATATGGGAATGTAAAATGTCCTGGATACATTAATTTTCCATAGACCACGTTTAATCCAATGCTAAAGATTAATAATACGTTTGGCTACCTGTGGAAGTGAGAGTTGGGAATCTCACTCTACATGTACCCATTTTTGGTCTGCTTGTCCAACCAAATAACTTTTTAGTGTGTTGACTGATTTCACTCCAGATTTGTCAGGTAAGTGAAAATAAGCCACTAGAGCAGAGAGACTTAAATTCCAGGAGCAAGAGCTTTGAAGTGGTAGAAGTTCCAAAAACATTTATTTTGAGTGAAATAGAAGTGTTTAAAAAAAAAAAAAGGCAGCACACAATCTAACGTTACTTCATACCAGTCCTGTTGAGTGTGCTGACAACTTTCCATCAGTTGGGTGCCTACTGTGTGTGACACCTGACAGTCTGGAGCCCCAGACCAGCGAGAAGAAATGCACTGTGCCGGTGTATGCAACCGTGTAAGGGGATGGAAGGACCTGATAACGCTAATAAATGCTACTGTGGGTGTCACCGTGTGCCTGAACTGGAGCTGCACCTGTCCTTGGTCTGTGGCGAGTGCATGGGAAAGCCTGTGTCAGCGTTGGCTGTTCTGACAGCAGACTTTGGGTGACAGTCATGGACACTGTCGCCCCATGAGAGTGAGAGGAGTAGCCCTGTGGTTTTGACACCTGAAGTGCTTTCACTTTGGCGTGAATTCTTTGCAGGTGGAAATAAGCAAGCTGGAGACAAAAGCCTAGTGATGCAAGCAGGCATTGTTTCCAAAACCATTGCTAAGGTCTGACTCTGTAATCAGTGCTTACTCTGGTCGTGTGCCTTCAGCAGCAGCTGAGTGGCGTGACTGCAGAATTGGGCCTTCTCTTAAAGGTTGGCTGGCTACAGAGATACTTCCATAAACTGTAGTTTGAAGTAATTAACTGGTGAGACACTGTGCATGCTGTGAGAGAGGCTGTTTGGAAGGTTGTATGCATCCATCTAACGAACTGGGTTTCATTGTTTTACAGGCGTTTCTAACTGCCATAGGAGACAGGAACCATAGGGCTGTCCTGGCACTGGAACACATGTTTGCGCCAGTGCTGGATGGCGCCGTGTCCACTCTGCTTGGAGTGTTAATGCTCGCAGGATCAGAGTTCGATTTTATTGTCAGGTAAAGGATTTGCATGTGTCTTGACTTTCTTTTCAAAATGAAAATAAGTGTGCTTTTAATTTTTATTCACTTCAGTGTATCTGTCATTTTATTACTATGCATGGTGTGTCAAGCATGCTTACATCATGGTCCTGCTTTCCCTCTGTTTTATTAACTCCTTGCTACACACTAGACGCGGTGGTATTTCCATTGCTGGCATTAAAATCTGTTCCAGGAAAATCTGACACCCAGCGTGAAAGAATGTAAAAATGGCCCTCCAGCAAAGTGTGCTAAATCTGGGTTTGAATCAGTCTGAAGTATCTGGTATTGTTCAGTACTAGCTGGGTTTGACCTTTAGCCTTTAGGTGCTCCGGACTTCTTGCGTGCACAACAATTTGCATGCAAAGGACACGTGAACCTACAAACATGCTGCAAGTGACTCTCTCTGGGCCTTCTCTTTCTGTCATTATGTGAGGTTTACAGCGATGTGTAACATGCAGAGGAAAAAAAAGCCGTGTTTGGGAGCTGGGGAACCATAAGTATGAACGCAGAACTTCATATTAAAATTTTGTAAAGCAAAGCCTGAAGGCCCTTCTGTTTAGAACTACAGGCAGACTGTTTCTTGTGAATTTAATTAAGAATGTGAATTTGTCAAGTATGAGAGGAAAGCAAGTTTTTCGTTGAGGGGAATTTGAGAAGTGCAATGAAACAGATCCTATTCTATTCCAAACAACCTGTGGAGCTCTGAAAAATGGCTAATCGTAGAAGTAACACAGGTTCTTTGTGGCAAAGTACAGCACAAAAAAAAAAAAAAAAAAAAAGCCCTAAAATGGAACTGAGGTAGAACTGGGCCAAATAAAAATGCTCTGAAAGATGACTTAACTACTTAGGTAGACATAAGCTGGATAGATGGCTAGACTTAGCTGACATCCATTTGACAACAATAACAACAAAATGTCAGAGGCAGGAACTGAGAGAATGGCTGCTAAATCTCATCAAGATTTTTTGTTTATGTATGTAAGAGATTTGGAGAAAGCAGGCAGTTTGCAGTTAGGCCTCATGAAACCTACATGAGGATTATTACTATATAGATACTGCATGTCTAGAATTAGAATTTGTATTTTTTCCCAAAGTCATTATTTTTTACTTTATTGGTGTTGAAGAAATAAGGTAGAATTATTCTTTTAGAACCTGATCTTGTAAGACTTGGAACACTTTGGCATATAGGTTGCTTACAGATTTAACCTAAATTTACAGGGGTACATTTGGTGTGCTACTTTGTTACTTAACAGATGAGATTTTGGCAAGCGTATTTTTGTGTCACAGCAAATGGAAGATTGTAGCAGCCCTTCACACCAAATTTGGATTAGATGTTCTCTCAGTTTATAAAACGAGCCTTTCAACTTTTCAACTTATGTTATTTTACTTTTTTTGGCCATCAGTTTCTCATTTTCTAGCACAATCTGACTTTAGTTTGCCTTGTTTAAAAAATAAACTAAACTAAACTATGGGAGCCTGAGCATTGTTACAGTGGGTGAAGAAGATCCCAAACTTCCGGAAAGCGATAGATTAGTCCAACAATGTAGAAGATTAAGTAAATTAACAGACATTGTATACACCAAGTGGTCAGAGCTATAATCCTGCTGTTTATCCTAGTGTTAGATGGATGAGATGCAAATGTTTTTAATGCCTGTTGTTGATCTCTGTCCCAGTGTAAAGTTCTGGTGGTTTATGTTAGTAGAGTAGATTGGCTTGCTGATTTTTCCTAATGCAGATCAGAAATTCCCAAATGTTTACAATAGCAGGATATTTGTAGTTTTACAGGAGTCTGATGTATTTGATCAGATGTGGAAATAGGGAAGCAGTAAAGTTTGTTGCCAGCTAGACAATGTAATCAGCAGACCCATTAGTAGCAAACTTGCCCCCTGTTCTTCTCCTTTGCCTTCTCTTCCAGGAATTTACCAAGACTGAGTCCTTGAAATCATTAGTTACAATGCAGCCTTAAGTTTAGTCTAAGCCCCAGCTGTGCCGAATACCAACTAGCAAGGCTTTCCTTTTACTGACAGGTTTACCTTGGTATTCATGAAGGATCCCAGACCTTAGCCCTCAGCGGTGGGAAAGGACAACCACTTGTGCACTTTCCTCTTCTTCCATAGTACTTCAGCCTTTATGTTTGAATTGGCTGACACAAAACAAGAGTATTCAGAGATGCTAAATTGTTCAACAAAAGATTAGCCTGCAATGCAGCTCTGCCATTGTGGAGTGCTCTTACTCAGTACAATGCTGAAGCTCGCTATAGAATGGGCAGCATTTTCTTTGCAGAAAGCGGGTTCCTGTGTTGTAAAAAGGTTGCAATTCGAGCTATTTGGTAAAACTGGAACTCACAGAATTCTAGGCGGAAAGTTGTGATTAATGAACAGCGAGGGAAACCCTTACCTGATACACTGGAGATTTAATTAGAGATTCTGCTGTAAGATGCAGAAGCATTTCACAGTGGATTAGCTGCTGGGAGAAGAGGGCTTCTTTTCCTTCTAGGCTAAATTGTTTAAATTCTACACCCTTCACTTCATTTGTTTGCTTCTGCTGGGTTTTCACTAATGGGGGCCCCTTCTCATTGTATTTGTGCTTTCAATCTATTCAGCTATTCACTGCACATTCCATATTTTTGTGTTTGTGTAACACATTCATAAATAACATTACATGCTTCTAGATTCTGGGAAATTAACAAATGTAATTTTTTTTCTTTCCTTTATCAACTAACACTTTGGGTTGTGGAATGTAGCTTCTCTAATTCAAAAGGTAAAAAACCCTATATCTGTATATGGAAAGTGATATAATTATTTAGTGCAATGTTAGCAATGTTTTAGATTTGATTTAGTTTGTGTACTGTTTTAACATATTTAGGAGTAATTTGTAGTCCCTTATTTCTAACAGTGTTTGTGGCTGTTCTCTCCCCCAAACCCCTTAAACTCTACTTCAGGTATTTCTTTGCTGTTTTGGCAATCTTAACCATTCTGGGAGTTCTCAATGGATTGGTGCTGCTTCCTGTTCTTCTTTCATTCTTTGGACCATACCCTGAGGTCAGTAAAATTAATGGTGAACAGAAGAAATAATACTATCTTTGCACCCCTGCCCCCCCCCTAGATTATCCCCCATTTTTAGAAACTCTTTTCTTTTTTAAATTTTCTTGGCTTTTTTAAGTTTTTTAAGTTTCTTGCTCTAGTTATTTCGTTGTGTTTTTTTTTGCAAGCTTGAGACAATTGTAGGATTATTTGTGCTTTTAAAAGCATAATGTGATATGCAAACTAGTCTGTAAAATAAGGATTTCCCGCAATATTTTGCAAAAGACAGTTTGTTTTGTACACATACCTTCTTCTTTCCTACCTTACTGCCTCTGTTGCTTTCCTCAAAATACTTAACTGAGCAGACCACCAGGAAGGCCTGTGTGGATCAACATACACCAGTGGTGGTCCACAGACCACACCTTGATAACCATGACAGGTCTGCCAGAAGGCCCCCCCTGTCCAGTTGCCCCTCCCTGTAGTATGCGCTTGGCTGAAGCAACATTTTTGATGGGTGGAAGGCTTCACTTAGACGTTGCTGACTTTACAGCATAAAGCCCAAGTCCAGTGAAAAAGAATTCATAGATACCAGATTTGTATTTGGTTGTGGATTGTTCGTTACCTTCTCTAACACAATTACTGTGCTACACAGGGCTGTCTTTATCCAATATTAGTAGAATCAGTGTGCTGTGCTTCACGTGTCTATGTGTATGTATGTGTGTGTACAAGGATAAAACACAAGGTACGTATACAGCACTAGTAATATTTCGGAAGTGTTAATTTTTTTAGTATTAGTTTTGACAAGGGTACATGATCTCTTATATTCCTAGCAGTATGCATGACCTGTTCCTTACTCAAGCAATGTATATGTGCGTATGTTGTTACCGCGTACGTTACCATTATGTGTGTGTCCATCTCTCTGTGCAAATAGACACTGAACCACATACACATACACATTTGAGGTGATTCTATGAAATCACTGTGAATGTATGCTGAAGGAGGAGGGAAGTCCACGTGCTATTTTTAAGTCTATAAGAGCAAGTGCATGCACGTACATGCATACGTGCACTTCCTGAGACAATGATACCCAGAAGAATCTGCGTAATCCTGTTTCTATACATATCCACAGATGGAGGTCACGTCTCTCTTTCGTTCATTTTTTCAGTTCAATATAAATCTTCATCAGAAAACCAGTGCTAAGGCTCTCGTGGCGTGAGACGGTGTGTTTGGCAGAACAGTTGCGTCCAGCTCTAATGATTAAAAGGGTGATGCTAATTGGATATTACTGAATGCGTTGTCATTGCCAGGTTTCTCCAGCCAATGGACGGAACAGATTGCCCACACCGTCTCCTGAGCCGCCCCCCAGCATCGTGAGGTTTGCGCTGCCACCCGGGCACACGAATAATGGGTCAGATTCCTCTGACTCAGAGTACAGCTCTCAGACCACAGTGTCCGGCATCAGTGAAGAGCTTCATCAGTACGAGGCCGCGCACCGCCCTGGGGCACCAGTCCATCAAGTAATAGTGGAAGCCACTGAGAATCCTGTCTTTGCGAGATCCACTGTAAGTAGCTTGAATGCTGACTGGCAAGAGGGCAAGAAGAGTGTTTGGTTTTTTTTATTTAAATCTATCTATTTTTGTGGAAAGCTTTTTCATGTTTCTGGCTGATTATGCTTTGCGCCTTTGTGCTAAAACTTGTAAGCAGGGAGTGAAGGCGTTTCTTGCCCTTTCCTTTAGGGTCAAGTTGGGGGTAAAATGATGGTATGAAAGCAGAGGTTTTTAACATGTGTAATTGCTGTTACATCCTGTTGGCACCAGCCACAGGAGAGAGCTCTCAGTCTGCTTGATGACTGTTCTCAGAGAGAGAACGGGGGAGACTGAAAGATTGAGACCTCTTCCACACAGGTCTTTGTGGATCACCATCTCGTATACCACTCTCTGACAGCACATTTTTTGGGGAAAGATTGATAGAGCCAGAAGAAAACAGTTTCAGGATTGTACCAAATCTTGGGCCTGTTGATTCTTGCTACAGGGTTCGTTGGCATAACTGCGATTTCAAAGGAAAGTGAAAAGGCTCTGTCTCCTACCCCTGCTGATGCTGCATGCTGAGCTGCAATGCGGATCTGTTTTTGTTCAGCAGAGGCCTAGAAATAGGTACAAGCACAGCCACATTTGAAGTTGGTCACGGTTTATTGACTGATGTGGCCGCTGCGCTTCACGCTTTTTACAGAAATCAGAAAACAGATTCCTACAGTCTATACAAACTGCCCTGCTAACATCCTGTGTATGTACCCTGTGTGGAACAGAGCCTTTTCCAAACGCCTGCAGTTCTGGTTGTTGAATGAGTTAAGATCAAGTGCTCATCACCTGTTCCTTTGAAAAGATGGTGCAGTATGTAGGAAGCTTACAGTAATGTTTTCAGCTGTCATCCTGTGTCTTTCTGAAGGTGTGTTTTCCAGGTTTTAATAACTATAGCCAAAAATTGTCTGGAAAAGTCAACAATTATCAGACTTCAGGGCATTACCCTTGTAGAGTTAGAGCCAGGACAGCATTATTATGATTGTTCTCAGCATAAAATGCAAGCGAGCATAGTATTTGTCAGAGGCATAACCACACGCCTCTCGTTTCAGGTGGTTCAGCCAGAGACGAGGCACCAGTCGAGTCCCAGATTACAATCGAGTCCGGAGTCCGGCACGCAGCAGGCGTGGTGCCAGGGCCGGCAGCCCAAACGGGACACGAGGGAAGGGCTACGGCCACCTCCTTACCGCCCGCGCAGGGACGCCTTCGAAATGTCTGCTGAAGGGCATTCAGGGCCCAGCAGCAGGGATCGCTTGGGCCACAGGGCTCGTTCTCACAACGTGAGGAGCCCAGCGTTGGGCGCCGTGGGGCCGGCATACTGCCAGCCGATCACTACTGTGACTGCCTCGGCTTCAGTGACTGTTGCTGTCCACCCTGCGGTGCACGGCCACAGCTCTCGGGGAGCGGGCTTTCCGTCCTATGAGGGATACCATGAAGCTGACCATGGGCCATTTGAGGACCCCCATGTGCCTTTTAACGTGCGGTGTGAAAGAAGAAATTCTAAAGTAGAAGTTATAGAGCTGCAAGATGTTGAATGTGAGGAAAGGATACCTGGCAACAGCTCACAGTAAGGTAGGTCTGTCTCCTGCAGCTGCAGGCTTTGCCTGTGCCAGACAACAGTGTGATCAAAAGAAAGTGGAAAGATAAAATTTCTCTGAGGTAGGTTTACTTATTGGTCCCTGATCATCTTAAATCTGCTGACTGTGAGTATAGTACATTTGACCGTGAATACAGTACATTTTGCGCTAGAAATCAAGCTGAATAAGGCAGTGCTTTCCAACACTGAGAAGTTACAGTGGGTTCAGACTATGAACTACTTCCAAGAACCATGAAGAGTGGGGAGTACGTCGTACAACCCCAGCTTACCAGATGAGCAAAATGAAGCAGAGATGTTGTGTAAGATTTCCAAAGCTGTGCATCTGCATTTGCTGTTTATAGGCCTTGTCTGCTGATCCCCGAACCAGGCCCGTTCTAGAACAGCACACAGAATGACATTGCCTAGGAGAATGTAAAATTGCCAGCTGCCTTGAGACATGTCCTCTCCTGAGTCAGACTCTGTGGAAGAATCTGCAGTCCGTTGCGAGGACTGAACCCCTCTGGAAGATGGGCCGAGTGAGAGGTGAGCTGGCCCCACCACAGTGGTGGGTGCCCGCTGCACTTTGGGGGGGTGGTCAGAGACCCCCCCCATGAACCCGAGCGTTCCTGTGAAACAGCTGATGCACCCAAGCACTTGCGAGGCTCGGTGCCTAAACCACGGTCTGTCTCCAGGCTGGCAAGAGGGAGCTACAGGAAACAGTGCTGTTCAGAACAGACAGGACATTTCAGCAGTTTGTGGAAGTTTGTTGTGATAATTTTCCATTAATTTTATAGGGAATACTCTGAAGGGGAGAAACCGATTGAGTTTTTTTACCCTGAAAGCTTTTTGGGGCTTGTGGCTGAAAAACCATTTCTCACTATGTTAACTCTGCTTTTCCCTTTTAGGGGAAAGAAGAAGTGTTGAAATAGTTACTTAGCTGTGGATCCCTGCTTTCTCTCTTTGTTTTTCAGAGCTTTTCAGTGACAGACACTAGTTCGACCAGAGCAGGCCGTTTTATTTTAGTTATAGAACGATTTTACATATATGCGTGCATGTGCGCACAGGCACACACACGTGGAGAGTTTTGATGGAAGTTTTTTGGTGACTCATATTAAAATCACCTTCTGATTTACAAAATGTCTCTCCAGACTTCTCAAAGTGCAGATAGACACGAATGTTGTTAGCCTCGCAGCCGAGAAATACAGCAAGTAATAGTATCCTCAGGATGAGGAAATACTTGGGCTCAGCTTTTGCAAGCTGAACTGCGTGGTAACATGAGATGGTTAACTGTGCGCAGTATTCGATGTAGCATATTTCTCCTTGAAGTGTTCATCAGTTTTGACTGAATTTCTCGCAGATATCTAAAGCTGGGAACTCAGAAATTAAACCATCTGAATTTTTTTAATTGGCACCAGTATTTCTTTACTGGGGAAATTCGTGACTGAGATGAAAGCAGAGCCCACATTTCCTGACTGCTAACTGTAACCACAAGAATCATGAAATGAGTTTTGGATTAGCTTGATTTGTTTGTTTTTCTTGAACTTTAATGAATGTTTGTTTTTCTTCTTTCTTTATTTGTAAAGGGTAATAACTGAAGCAAAGAAGAGGCCAAAGATGGAAAACTGTATTTCCAGAACTGCTTGAAGAGAAGAACTGCTTGAAGTTGTAGAAAAGGACATGCTGCATCAGGACAACAGTTCATTGTTACTGTAACCTATTGTATTATTTTGTTAAATATTTCTTTAAGTATTTAAAAGATGTACACATATGTAATATACAAAAGAACAATGTAAAGTAGTATAATCTGGAGTCATTTGCCTCTGGGCAATAGAATGGGGACAATATTGTGTGCGCTTTGTACTTCTTGTACGTTGATCTCTGTGCCACAACTAAGCTTAATCTAGTTCTAAATTTCAGCATAAGTTGCTGCTGCTTAAATATTGTATAATTTACTTGTATAATTCTATGCAAATATTGCTTATGTCATAGGAATTCTTTTTTTTTCAAAGGTACATGTCTGTTTAAAATATTTTAAATTTGTGTATCACGACCCTGTGGTAGTATGAAATGTTTCTGTTGACTTTCAAACACGCTATGCGTGATAATTTTTAAAATAAGCAGATATGAAGAAAAGCAAGTTAATCTGGGAGGCTTAAATAGATTTAGCTATGTGCAGGTTTTGTTTTACTGTGTGTATCCATGTGTGCATCTGGAAGTGCATGCATGCTTTTGTGTGTATGTTCCTGGTGTACTGTATTTCTTTTTTACTGTATGGTAATGCGTAGTGGGCTTACAAACCCACTGATGCTGATGTGAGTCTGGCTGTCCCTGTTAGTAGGCACTAGTGAGAACCGTGTTGGTGTTTACCAACATGTACCACAGACTGCCATCATCAGAGGCCCAACTGAAATAGAAGGGAAGACAAGGAGTCGAGGTTTGGGGTTGTGGTTCAGTTTCCCACGCTCTTAATCACTTGGCTCACGTGACTTTGGTCAAGTCATGTAACTGCCCCATGCCTCAGTTTCTAAAAAATGGGTATAATTACACTTACCTACCTCCCAGGAACGTTGTGAGGTTTAATTACTGTTCATGTAGTCCTTTGATTTTTTTTATTTTTTTTTATTTTTTTGCAAAAGGTGCCAGGTAAGTGCAAACACTATAACCATTGTTTTTTTCACTTCCAAAGGTGCTGGATATTGAGAAGTGCTGTGGTTATAGAAATTCAGTCAGCATATGCCTTATCTTGATGTTGATACTGTTAACTATGGGTGGCATTAGAAGCTGGATAATTTAGTTGTTTGACAGTGAGCCACAGCTCAGCTGTGTCCTTACAGCATTGAAAGCAGTATCTTTGGTCACCTTATTTTCATGTCAGGAAGGAAGTTAATAGTAAGTGATAAAAATCAAAGGGAAGGATAGAAAAGCCCATCTATTTTCACTTCTTAAATATAAGTGGCTTTCCGATGGGTTCAGGACTGTAATGACACGTAAGGCCTGGGGTGTTCTTTTCTCTATTGTTTGTGTTTTCCCATGCTGCATTGGCACTTTTTAATTAAAACAGCTAAACTGGGATCTCTTTGTGAAACTAATTTAGCTTTTTGTATTATTATTTTTTAACTAAAAGGGGATTGCTGCAGGTGAAGGGTCTGAAAAAAACACTACGATCTGTTTTCCAGTTGGAAACAAACCCTAAGAATGGAGAAGCTTAATTTAAAATAATAGCAATTTTCATTATCTCTGTCTTCCTTTCTTGATCTTTTTTTCTGCCCTTCTCCGAGCTGTTTTTTAGAGCAGGTAGATGTTCAATTGTGTATTCAGAGCCAAACACACACAACCAGTACTCAGTTTCTAAACACAGCAGCGGTAGGGCTTTTCTTTAAGTGCGATGCCTGAACAGCAGCGGCCGATTCTTTGATGGGAAAGTGTTTTTCTCCAGTGGCTTCAGGGAGTCTATCTTTGCCCACAGACCTTGCCAGCATAATGAATGGGGATAATTAGAATGCACAAATTTCCATGCCTTTTTTGCTCACTTGAAAACACTTTGATATGAGGCACTTGTTTACAGATCTCCAATGTGAACGCCCGAAGGGCAGGTGGCGAGAGCCTGGTGTCGATCCTGTGACACCTAAGCTACTGTTCCAGTGGGTGCTGGGGGTTGATGTCGCGACTGCCCACCGGTCCAGCTCGCTGACTGACCGGAAGGCTCTTAGCGACAGCAAGGTGAGGGGCCCCGATTCAGCGCTGGCGGCGTAGTCGCCTCCGGTCAAACGAACTCTGCGGCAGAGCTGTATGATGCTAACGGGAAGCTACCTTCAGCCGCCCAGCATGCAGTCCTGTGCCGGAGGTCAGCAGCGCTCCTGCCAGCACCGCCGCCGGCTGCCTCGCTCCCTCCTCTTCCTCGACAGGGGAGGAATGGGGCCGGGGCGAGCCGCGGCGTTCCCCACCTGCCCCTGCCCGGGTCCTCCCGCGTGGGTGAGCTCTCTGCTGCTTCGTGCGCGGCGTAGACCTTCTTCTCTGGTAGTCACATTGGCAAGGGGAGAACTCAGTGGCTGGCAACATTTGTTTTGGCTTGGTTTTGTTTTTTAACTTTTTTAATCATGGGTGATATTTATATTTTTGTATCATAAGAATGTTTTCTTACAGTATTTGTCATGCCAGTTTATAACAAACAAGATGCAGGGATTTTATTTCTATTGGAAACACTATTACAGCTATGTTTTTACTGTTTAATGGATTTTTATTTGTATAGAGTGCTTACTAATGTTAAATAGGAAAGAGTATATAACATTTACTTTAAGGACTTGTCGTAGCTAATAGCGTAAGGAGTTAAAAGGAAAAAAAATATTCAAACTGGGTCTCATTGCCTGCCTGCTTTGGTAGGAGTGGGTTTGTGTCATTTCAGTTACAAAGATAAAATTATGCCATATAATTTATTTATATGAAAATTTATTTTTGTAGTGTACATAGTAGTCATCAAGTCTTTTGACAGAACTATATTTTTAAAGAGTTTATATGTAATGATGATACCATTATGTTTTGGAACACTGCTGAGATACAATTACGGTGCACACTTTTCCTTGTAAACCCCCTGGCAGAAAAGAAAGTGTTTAACAGTGTTAAGAGAGAGAGTGTGAATATTCATACGATTCTGAACTGTGTTTTAGTTACCATTTGTGATCTAGTGTGGTTCTCATTTTAAAGTTTGAATGGAAATTGTACAAACTCTCTAAATATTAATGTTCAAACACTGATAGAAATTCTAACATGAATAAAAAAATATTATAACTTATTGGTTACGGACTTGGTTGTTTATAGAATGCTTCTTTACGTACTGCGGCTCGGCTGTGTGGGTACAACCATGCAGTCATTCTGATCTGGAGCATGGATTCAGGACGTTTCAGTCCATCCATCAGCGCGATGTTTGTGAGATTCAGATTTGCCCATTTTGGAGCAGGAGTCAATGCTGAAATCCTCTATGAACTGTAACACGCCGGTGCTTGTCTGTTGATTTGCTTGCCCTTGTTACGTCGCGGGGGATACGTTCAGGACTGGACCATGCCTTTCATGCTTACTCTGAACGAAGCACTTTGTGTATGCTTTGAACCCTCGGGTAAAGCAGTTGATGTACAGGTTATTTCTGCTCAGAAGTGGGAGGCAGCTTTTTGTCTTTTTCAGTCTTTGTGGTTGCTCCCTAAATAGGGTTAGAGACATAATCTACTTTTCCCGCTTTGTGGAACGAAAAATAAATAAACGTGGAGTTCTGAAAACTACAGCGCTCTGTAGGAAGGGGGACATGACAAAGCTCCTCCTGGGCAGCATGCGAGCGGCTGCGAGCTGGGGCTGAGGTCCCCATCCCTGGCGCGGGCGCTGCATGGGGGGCAGGAGGGGCGGTGGCGGTGATGGGCTGTGGGGAGCAGCATCCCTCTGAAGTCACTCACGTTGTAAACCTCAGCGTGATTTGTCCTGTGCTGAGCAGCCACCAAAGTGCCACAGAGCCAGCAATCCTCAGCTTTATCCTAGAACCCTTCAGTGATTTTTTTCACGAGTCTTCTAAATTTCCCATAAACAGAAAGCCCAGACATGTCTTGGGATGATCGTAATGCAGCCCCTGCTTCTCATGGGCAGAGGAAATACAAATATAACTTTGTATTTCATGTGTTCTGGAAGTTTAGCCAGAAAACAGAAAAATACAGTGAGAGGACTTGAACTGCAAAACTTCTACACGTGTTTGTTTTTTTTTTCTACTCAGAATACTCTCCTTCCGATCCTGGTAGGACTGGCCAGGCCGCCGATCTGTGGGCCTGGGTGGGTTACAGCCCGCGAGAGCAGTCGCCACGGGAGTCTGGCGTGAGCTCAACTCACCCACTCTGCCTTTCACATCCCAGCTGTCCATGGGAGCAGCTCCATTCACAGGACTGGAAACCAGAAGAATAAATCAATACGTTCTCCCACTCAGAACACAGGATTTCTTTTTAAAAACCCCATTTTGCATGAACGATTGCTATTTACCTTATGTTACTTGTCATGTTTGGATTCCTTGTAAATGGCTCTTCTTGCAGTCAGTCTTATTAACCCCAGGTAAGACCTTAATCAGATTTTTGTCAGAGATTGGCCATATTTATCCAGGCCTTAAGTAAACATGTGGCCAAATTTTTGTTGGCATAATGCATGCATTTAACAGCTTCAGGAATGCTGCATGCTGCGGAACTGCAGCAGCACCGATGTATGAACAGGTGTTACATTTTCGTTAACTTTCACTCCCAGTCAGCATCTGGGACACCGACTGTTTGTATCTGAAAACCACCGTTGCCAAATTGTAATTACTTTTAATGGCTGCTGCGAGTAATGAGAACAATTACTACTTCCCTGCTCCGTTTAATCATCCTTGTCCTTTTTGTTGCAGGCATGTTGAACCTTACTGCTAGCACAGGATGCCTGCCAGGAAACGGCACTACCCAGCCTGAGCTGCTTAAACAAAAAAAATGCATGCCCTGCTGCAGCTAATTAAACACAAATTAATTGCAGCTAATTAAACACAAAAATGAAGCAGTACTGCTGCTGTAACAAAAAAAAAAAAAAAGTTCAGCCTGTGTCCTGGCGTATTTGGTGCTGCAGACACCATTCTGCCTCTGTAGATACCACGTCAGCAAAGGAAGCTTCTACCTCAGAGTGTCAGTTGTCCGTGGTGGTGTCTAGGCCACTGGCCACCCCACCGCAGGTTTTCTTA